TGGTGTGGGAGGAGGGGGCAGGGATGCGCGGGGAAGATGGCTGCTGCGCAGCACTGGCGCAAAGCTCAGCAGGGCAGGGAGCGTAGCCAGGCCCTGGTGTGATGGGGGAGCATGCGGCAAGGATACACTGTGATATCCCACCTCTAGCACAGAGCTGGGGGTGGTCCTGAGATGCTGCCCGTGCCTGCAGCCCTCCAACATCACATGCAGTCACAGCAGGAGCGAGCGGCGCTGTGTCACCCCCCCGGATGGGGACCTGTCACTATCCCATCGGAGCTCCCAGGTGCAGGGGGGCTTACAGGGGGCTGAGTCGGAGCCGCAAGACGGGGAGGAGGCGGGGCCTAGAGCTCTGCAGCCCCGCTACACCTGCCTGTGCTTGGAGGCATCATACAGCCCCAAGGACCAAAGGGGTCCTGGTGCCACCACTGCACAGTACGACGCCCACCCCATCTCCTGGTCCAATGCCACAGAGCATGACACCCCATTCTACATCCCATTCTGCCTCCTAGAAACACTACACACCCCACCTCTGCCCACAGCGACACCCCCCCCCACAGCTTCTCCCTTCCCATCCCCTTGCCCCCTCCCCTCCCCTGCACCCGCAACTCCGGCTAAGCTGCAAGATGATCCCACGGTTCCAGTGCAGGGGGCACAAGCCCATCCTGCTTCCAATCTCCCAGCACACCCCATACCCAGCGGGGCAATGGCCTCTCGGCGGCCCCTCCTGCCATACCACAGAGGTGAGCTCAGCACCAAGCTGAGCCCGCGGGTGCGGGGCGTGGGAGCAACAGCCACCTCCGCGCGCAGCCCCGCCGGCGTCACCGCTGTGACTGATGCACGTGCTATGCCACCTTCCTGCTGGCCCCAGCCACACTGCCCATACAACCCCCCCAAAAGAACTTTCACCCAGTGCCAGTGGAGCAGTGCTGCAGGGTCTGAGTCCCAGGGTCACTCCACACAGCCAGGACAAGCTATGCACATGGCACGAAGCCTTAAACCCATTTGTGGGTTGTGAACCGAAACCCAATCCCAGCACCCATGGACCTGCGGCTCAGCCAAACCCCCAAAGCAAGAGCAGTCTGGAGCAGGTGCACAGCATCACCCCAGGGGGTTCCCACCAAAACCACGGCCACTGTGGCAGTGACAGTCACACTGACCACAAAGTATCCTCCCCACCACAGGACACCGGACCTCCCCATTGCTCCAGGCAAGCCAGCGTCATCCTTGCCCCCACATCCCTCTCGATGTCCCCAAGGAGCAGGGCAGCAGCATCCCCCACACCCACTCCATCTCCCCATGGAGCTCTGAGGCAGGGGTTTCCCACTCACCTCCAGTGCAGCACATTGCCCCGCTCACTGTCACATCAGGGCTGACGCTCACCACCCTGCCTGCCTCCTTCCTGACAGCGGTGTCACCTGGAAGTGATGTCACCGACTCCAGCAGTGGCACGAGTGGCTGTGCCCTAGGCTGGTTTGCTCAGCCCTGGCGGGGCCCCAGGGGTGGCCCCAAATGGCAGTGACAACACTCAGCAGGCTGGCTGCTCCAGTGCAGCCACGCACGCACACACACACACACATAGGGACACCTGCAGGATGTCGGTGCCCCACTCCCCCGTTGTGCTGCCTCTTGCCCCCTCTGAATCCCAGCGCGGTGTCCCCATACCGATGCGTGTTCTGCCTTCCTTGCTGCTGGCAGCTGGCATGGCTCGCTGGGACATCTCGGAGGGCCGGCACGGAGCAATGCTGACACCCGCGGTGGGGGCGGGCGGCGAGGCCGGCTCACTGGGTGCCCCTGTGCTGTGGGCTCGGTGCCACTGGAGCCCAGCACCATGGTTTGGTTCTGCCCCAGTGCATCTCCTGCTCTCTGCGCAGCCATCAGCCTGTGGACGTGTCCACAGCCCAGCAGTGCCCCCCCTGCCCCGACAAAGCCCAGTGCAACCCCAATCCTCTCCCTAAGCCTCTTTCCTCTGCTAAATCCGCTCCGTATGTCAGGTCGCAGCCCATCGCCCACAGGAGCTGTTCCCCATCTCTGCGCCCACAAGTAGGACCCAGCCCCGGTCTGGAATGCATCCCCAGGGTGGTGGGAATATGGAGAACTGGGTGCACAGGGGGATTTGTGACCCAATCTCATCCCTGGCTCTGTTTCCTCTGGTTGGTTTCAGGGCCCAATTGGCTGCATTTTGGCACAAAAAGGCAGGAGAGGCACAGGACAGCAGCCAGGCAAAGAGGCAAGGACACATGCATCAGCTGTAGGCACTTCCAGCAAAGCAGCCCTTCAGCACCCATCCAGAGCCCCATGTCCAGAGCAGTGTCAGAGAGCACAAGGCACAATCCAGCACTGCCACATGATGGCACTGGGCTTGGCATCACTGAGCATCACCGCCCCAGGGATTGAGCCACCAAGAGACCCCCCCTGCAATTGGGCAACCCAACGCAACACCAGTCTCTGCCTGGCAGCCCCCACACTCCTCTTACCTGTGCTGGGGCAGGCGGTGCAGCTCAGGTCCGTTGGCAGCACCACTCTGTGCCCCAGCGTCCCCACGAGCCCAGCACTGACGCAGAGGGGGCACAGTGTCACGGCTTCACCCACGCAGCCATGGGGGTTGCAGAGCTCTGGTCACACTGCCCATAGGGTGCCCTGGGGAAGGAGAGGTCAAGATGGGACCCTGACAACCCCACAGAACCAAACCCAGGGGCAGCACCAAAATGCCCACCCACAGCACGCTGGCCATGGAGATGTGCTTGTACTTGGGGGCACATTGGCCATGGAGCACCAACCTCATGCACAGGGGTTCTCTGTACCCACAGTCCTCCCATCCCCAGCATGAGTACAGCATCTAGTCATGTCCAGGAATCCCAAATCTGCCCCCACGTGCCCAGAGCTGGGAAGGGGCCTCGGTGCCAAGCAGAGCGGCACCTTGGCCAGACCACGGAGCACCTGGCTACTCATTAGCACTAATTGGTGGCAGCCTAATGGGCCAGGCAGTAGAGTGAGCAGTGCCCCCTGGTGTTGCTCACTCAGTGCGGGATCGCAGTCAGCCCAGAGTACAGCTGGAGGGGGGTGGCTGGGCACCCCACAGGGCACAGGGCACCTAGGGGAGCCTCTGCTTGCATTAGGTTGGGACTGAGAGGGACACTGGGGACAGAGGGACAGAGACAGCCCTTCATGCTGCCCCAAAACCCTGTACACCCACACCAAGGGCTGCCCCCACCCCAAAGAAGCATTTCCCTCAGCTGCAGCAGGGGATGGAGCCGCATGGTCTCGCCCGCTCTTGCAGCACCACACCTGCAGGAACCGGTGGTGCAGGAGGTGCAGCCGCCCCATCCCCTGCATGCACAGCCCCATTCCCTGCAGGCATGGCCTCCCCAACACCGCTGCCCCCCAGCTCTCCTCCATCTGCAGCTGCTGCACCATCCCAGTGCCGCAGGGTAAGGGCTCTGCTCCAGCCTGGGTGCTGCCAGGGGCTGGAGGCAGAGAAGGAAAGCTCCTCCCTGTGCTTTAGGGAGGGAGGGTGCATTGGGGGCAAAGACGTCTCCAGTCCCAAACCCACTCCACTTTGAGGAAAGTGCAATGAGAGTGCTGTTTCTCAGAGCATCCCTGAAATACATCAGTGGATGATGCTCTCCAGGAACATCCACCTGCAAATCAGAGACAAACTCAGTGGCCCTGGACAGGATGGGGTTCATGACATCCCCACCCTCAGTGCCCCAAGGACAAGCACCCAGCTGACCCCCTCCCTGTGAGGCTCCACAGGTGGATCAGCCCCACACGGCTCAGCCACAGGGAACCTGAGAGCCCACTCCTTCCCACCGTGCCTATACCCCAGGGGCCTCCCAGGGGAAACTGAGTCACAGCCGCCACCCCCATGCCCAGCTCCAGGCAGCAGCAGGAGTGGAGCGGGGGCACCAGTGGCCCCAAGCTGTTCCCATACAGTCCCACCGGCACCAGGCCAATGAACACCAAGCTAACGAGGCCTCGGGCTGCTCGAGGGGCTGCAAATAGGCTGCGCAGCCCAAGCCCCCAACGTGCACCCCGAGGTGGGTTCGTGTGGGGCCACAGCTGCTCGGTGTCATCTGGGGGGTGGGCTACATCGCAGACTCTCTCCACAAAGAGTCCCACTCCTGCACACCAAGGTGCCACTTCACACAGGCTGCAGCTTCAGCAGGGTTTTACCAAAGCAGATGCCGTTTCCCACTTGCTTCGTACTAAACCAGCCCAGCAAGGGTGCGCCTATGGGAACCCCACAGGAGGAGACCCACGGTGCCCGGACAGCAGGCAGGGACAGGGGCTGCGCCGGGGCGGCTCCGCAAAGGTGAGCGCGTGGGGAAGCGCAGCGCCGGGCCGTGTCTCAGCCTGCCCTGGGTGCTGCATGGCCCCAGGGAACCCCGTGCCCAGGGTCACCGCGTCTGGGCCAGGGGAGCGGGCAACCGACTGCCCCCTCGGGATAGCAGGCCGGGCAGGGTCCTCTCAGCGAGGCACCGTCGGGATTAAGTTTTGCAGCACTTAAAAACAAAGAGGCTGAAAGCAAGCCAACACGTCTCGAGCACTTTAGTGGGACAAACCTGCCCCGATGCGGCCGTGCTGGGGACGGAGGGTCCCCGCGCCGCGTGACGCACCCGAGCCGGGGGCCATGCCCCGAGCACAAGGATCCTCTGTTCAGCGCGCACAGCTCCCAGGGGCCGGGGAGGAGTGAGAGCGGAGCGGAGCTGCGCCCGCGACGCCAACCTTCCGCGGGGCACAGCTCCCCGGAGGAGGCCGAGCGCCCGCATCCCCGCAGTGCCGCAGGGCACGGTGCCAGCGCCGCAGCACCGCCTCCACGTGCCGTGCCCGACCCCGACATCTCTACGCGCCATCCCAGAGCCCGCTGCCCCACGAGCCATCCCGGCCCCCGGCCCGCATCGCCCTCACCTCTCGGCTCGCGGCCTCCGATCCCGCGCGGCGTCCCGGCGCTGCAGGCACCATGCCGGGCGGCAGGGGAGGCGGAGGGGGGGTCTCCGCCCTCACACGCCGGCCTCGCGCCTCCGGGGCGGCCACGTGCCGGGGGGCTGCTCCTGCTCCCCGCGGTACCGCTCACCCTCCTCCTGCACCCCGCGCAGCGCCTCGCCCTCCTCCTGCCGCCCCCTCCTGGCCCACCAGCGGGCTCTGCCCGGGGGGCTGCCCCCCTCCCCGCGCTGCCCGCGCTCCTGCTGCGCCCGGCGGCTCAGGCCCTGCTCCTGCCGCGCTTTGGGGCCGCGCTCCTGCACCCCCCGCCCGCCCGCCCTCCCCCGCCGCGCCCCGGGGCTGCCGCCCTCCGCGCCCCGCGCCGCCCTCCGCGCCCCGTTCCCCCACTGCTCGCGGGGTCTCCGCGCCGCCTTAACGCCCACGGCGGGGGCCGCCCGCTCTCCCCGCTCCTGCAGCCCCACCCGCACCCCCAGCGCCACCCGCTGCCACTGCCCCGGCCGCCCCGCGCCGCCCCCGGCCCCGCCGCTCTCCGCCTCCCTCCCGCCGGCCACCAGCTCCTGGCCCTGCGCTCCCAGCCCCGCTTCCTGCACGCCCTCCGCCAAACCCCCCGCTTCCTGCACCCCCGGCGCCACGCCGCCCCCTTCCTGCACCCCCGGGCTCAGCCCCCCGCCCTCCGCTACCCCCGGCCCCCGGATGGTGCCCTGCCGGCCCCGCAGCGCTGGGGGCTCCGCTCGGCAGCTCCCGGTCCCGGTCCCGCTCCCGGTCCCGGCCTCCCCTCCGCCGGGAGCTCCCGGGGCGGCGCGCCGTCCGCCCGGCCCCGCTCTTAAAGGCGCCGCGCCGCCGCCTTACGTAACGGCGGGGCTGAGGGGAGGAGGCGGGGGTGCACGGGGCGGCGGGAATAGGCACAGGGTGAATGGGCCCGGCCGGATGGGTGGAAGGGTGGAATGATGGATAGAAGGGTGGAATGATGGATGGATGCACGGACAGGTGCAGGCGCGGACAGATGGGGGAGTCGAGGGGCGCACCCTCCTGCTGCGGCACACGCTGCGCGGCCCGAGCACTGCGGCCCCGGGGCTCTGCAGTCACTGCAGGGACAGGAGCGCTGCCAGGCTGATAGGGGAAACGGCAGGCAGGGTGCCTGCAGAGCTGCCTCCTCCCAGAGCCTGCTAATGGGAGGATGCACTGCCTCTCTAGTCAGGCTGGACAGGGCTCTGAGCGCCCGATGGAGCTGTAGGTGTCCCTGTTCAGTGCAGGGGAGTTGGACTACATGGCCTTTAAGGGTTCCTTCCAACTCAAACAGTTCTGTGATTGTATTTCCTGCTTCACAGACACGGTTAAGTGAGACTGGCAGGAAGGACCAGAGAAGATAGCACAGAAAAGTTGAGCATCCTAACCCAGTAAAACATTTGCAATGGGAAGTCCTGCAGTAAGAAGGCTGTACACCTTTGTCTTGGTGGGGGATGCAGCACTCCAGGATGTTGAGCAGACCTAGTCCAGGCACTGACCCTCCTCAGGTTATGAGGTGCAAGGACAGGGCAGAGGGAGCCACCCACATCACATAGCAGCACCCAAGCCCCATACTACACATGTAGAGAGCAGCCAGCTATGGCCTTCCAGGGCACAGGCATGGCCAAGGATGGGAAGACTGGCATCTGTCATCCACTCCCAGGCCTCAAGGTCTGATTTCTGAGTGGTCCCACAAACAGGCACGGGATGGACTTGATAATCCTCGTGAGTCCCCTCCACCTTGTGCTATCCTGTGACTTTAACATGGTGAGTGGGAAGCAGCAGCCATGAAGGGAGGGGGGCAGCTCACATCCATCACTTTTCCACATCACTGCCTGCATCCTCAGCCCAGTTGCCTGGAGAGAAACAGCACTCTGAGCACTCCAAGCAGAACAGCATGGTGAAGTTGGGAAGTCCCCAAGGTGGCAGTGGGGGTACCAGGAGCTTGTATGCAGTTACAGCTCCAGGAGAGCAGCCTGTCTCCAGCCGCCCACCAGTGGCAACAGAAGCATCAAGAACCCACAGGAGTTCAGTGTTGAATCTTTCAGAAGTTTTATTGAAGCAGACAGCAGGTAACCTCGATACAGACAGTAACACCCCACACCAAGTCAGACACAAGCCCCACCACAGCAGCAGGCACGGCTGTGCTGGCTCCTGACTCTCCAGGTTTCATCTTTCTCTGCTGGCTGCAAAGCACACACTTAAGTCTGACATCAAGATGCATGCAAGTGCTACAGCAAGGAGTCACAGACAGCAAGCTCTTAAATGCCATCTGGAGAAGTGTCACTAGGAAACAGCTACACAGGGTTGTGCACATGCCTCAGAGACAGCAGGGCAGTTAAGGATGAGCACTGGGACTTGCACCTGGACAGCAGGCTTCCAGCTTCCGATGAATGCAAACAGAGCCCCTCCGTTCACATGGGCTGAGCTCACTGCACAAGTAGTGGGCACCTGTGCCCGACCTTTGTGGAGGATGGAGTCTCTCACCCAACTGCACATCCTTCAGGCATTACTGCTGGGCCTCAGGTAACACTCTTGATTTAAATTATCATGATTTTTAACATTTTTTTTTTTCCTAAACAAAGTACACAGCTAGATGCTGCCTGACACCTTCCTCCTGGCAATCTGCAGATGTCAAACACCAACAGTGCTCAGCATCGGGTCAGGGAGCAGCGCAGCACCACGAGGAAGGTGTTTCTCCCAAAAGCACCCAAAAGGAATGACTAAGGTTTCCAGCAACACCCAGGACAGAAGCAAGCAGCCTCTCCAGGCGTGCACCCCAGCATCAACCAAAGCAGGCAGAGTTCTCTGTAGTAGTACACACACCCAAAGCAGCAGCCTGAGCCCTCCAGCCAGCAGTCAGCCCCAACCCCTACATTCACCTTGAGTTCATCATGTCTTTGTGACCGGTTTGAAGGAAGTTTACAACAGCACAGAACACACAAACTACTGCTAACTACTCTACCTTTCACTAACATCCCAGCCCCAGTCTTGTTACTTGGGGCAAGAAGCAACTTCACAACAGCACAGCTATTAGAACGAGTTCAGCCTACAGAGAAGGAGTCTACAGAAGTACGGAACAGATTGAAGTTCGTATTTGCATCACCACAGGAGAGTGGAAAAAAAATAGGACTGCAGGAAGTTGATCCATGTTAGATACTAACCATCAAGCTTTGCAGATGACATTTCATGATAAGCATAAAACAATTATGGGAAACACTGTCCCCGATAATTACGTACACCCATAGTGCAACATATGGAGGTCACTGCCTCCGATATAACACTGTGGTAGGCAAAAACTACCTTGTTCTTTACACATTATGGAAGACACTGCCCCCGATAATGTCAGTTAGGTTTCATGATACATAAGGTACTGGAAGTCTGCAGGAAGCTGCCATTGCCAATAGGGCCAATGCCCAATCCGGGGGATGAGTTTGTGTGCAGCGCAGTGGATGGGGTGAGCGCTGCACAGCGAGCCCTGCTCAGGGTGCTCTGCCCCTCCATGGAGCAGTGCCACCACACGAGCACAAGGCTTCCAGAAACAGGGAAGAAGAGGAGTCCTAAGCCCACAGAGCGGCACAAGACACCTTGGGGAGCCAAAATTTCCAAATTTTGAGTTGTTTTCCAGCATTTCAAGGATCATTTGCAAGTGCAACCCAGAGACTTGCTACCAGGTTTAAAAACAAAATTTAGGGGGGGGCTTGTTTGGATTGTTTTAAATGCAAAGTTCCAGTATCATGTTTGATTGTAATAGCAGATGCTGCTTTATTCAAAAACGACAGTATAACTGTCATAATTATGGAAGGCACTGCTTCCGATAATTATCTTCTATAAAAAAACCCACGCACCATTTATAGTGAACACTGTCACTGATAAATAAATAAACAAATAAATATCTCAGTGTCAAACAAGAGCCATCCTGCAAAATGGCATCAGCCAAACAGAGTTTGGCCAGCAAGAGACTCTGCTTTGCAAAAGGCCCCAGCACAGCAAGGTCTGAAGTGCCAGCCTAGAGCTGGCTCTCAATGACTCTATTCTATGATTCTAATGCTGCAGGACTCGTGGAGGTACCAGCTAGGAACACAAAAGGGGGGCACAACAGTCTTTGGGTTATCTTTCCTGGGTATTGAGGCCTACCCTTGTAGCAGCAAGCCTCCAAGATGTCATTGGAGCCCTGCTGCTGAGTAAAGGCAGGCCGGGCACTTCAGAGCTTGCTGATAACCCAGCACTTACAGGCTGCTGTTTTTAATTCTTCAACCATAGGTTTGTGCCTGCAGCTCACTGGCCAGAGAAGAGATCCTTACTGTGTCAGAGGAATCCATTCCCTGCCCTGTCACTACATTTAGGGGGCCAACAATAAAAGAATTTTAGATAGACACAGTACCTTCCCACTCAAGGTACTGGTTCAGGATTCTCTTGTGCTGTTAGCTCTCAAGTACACCAGAGAGCAAACCCCACAAGCAGCAGCAGGTGACAAGTTTGACTGTGGTCAGAGATATCATCATAATTTTAGTACCTGCTTTAGAACTGCCTCATATGAATTTGTGTGAGATTTAAATTTTATGCTCAACTTTGGTCAAGAAAAGATTTGTCACCAAAAAAAAAAAAAAAAAACAAAAAAACCAACAAAAACCCTCTACAGAAAAATAACGCCATGGTAGGGAGTGGGTTTCCCTAACCCTGTACCTTAACCAGGTGTTTGCAGTGCCTAGAATTCATTGTCAGTATCCCAGATATCACCTCCCAAGGCGTTAGCAGCCCCTTTAATGGTCCACGTTGCTAGGGCCAGCTGCTCCTTCAGCAAGTTCAGATCCACGTCGCTCTTGCCGGTTTTCAACAGCTGCAGATGCTCCACCAGACTCTGCAGAGTGTGGGTGCCTCTGCCGAAGAAGACGTGGCGAAAGGGAACATCTTTTGGTGAGAGGTATGGTGACAGGAAGTCATACTCCACCTGCAACAGAGATGCAAACTCAGTGTCATACTTTCACCTCCCAAGTTTTTCTTTTCTGATCTGCCCCATCACCAGCCCTCCAGCATCAGCACCCAGCCCTTCCCTACAGCAGCTCTGCCAGGGCCAGATCCTGACAGCAAGCACAGAAGTCAGTCACGTTAACATTTAGTACAGCACCTGCAGCTTCCAAGTACAAAGCCCATCCTGGCCAGCCCTCACCTCATAAGGAAAGGCAAGCCAGCTGCAGACACCTACCTTCATGATCCTGTCATTCAGGGCTCTGCGGATGACCTTGTTCTCCCTGTCGCTGTTTGCAATGTCTCTCCTCAGTGCATCCGCAGCTCGCTGGAAGTCACCACGGGCAAAAAACAGCCAGTCCAAGGTCAACCCCAGCTCCTGTGAGGGAAGAGCTGTTAGCAAACCTGATTTTCTTCTTTTGCAGCTCTCTTACCAAGAATTTTTTTTTTTTTTTTTTGCCAGTTTAATTAAGTAGCAGAGCAAGTTCCCGGCAGTCTTTTCTGAGGTCACTGAGCACAGCTTATGCCTCTCCCCACCCACAGTTTCTTGTACTGTTTCAGCAGAGGTGCAAACGAGATGCAAAGCTGCACTGTGCTGTGGATGATGTCCAGGCTAGAAAACACAGCACCCACATCCACTTCCTCCCTCCACCACAGCAACGTCAGATAGATCTGCCTGCCACAGATCTGCCTACACAGCAGTACTGCCTGTACTGCTTTTTAAGGATTGGTTTTTTTTGTTTGTTTGTTTTGTTTTTTTTACTCAAATCACATCTTGTAACTCTTGTATCCAGATGAGGAAGATGTCCACCCAATTGCAGCTAACAGTCCTGGAGTACTGTTAACGCCTGGCCTCAGAACAGCCTTCAGGGATTCAGTGCACTCAGCGCCCTTCTTACCCGCACATCCTTAACGTAAGGCAAAAACTTCTCCTGGTATGCCAGTAATTCTTCACCGTATCTCCCAAAGTCCAGGAAGAGCTCGTGATCATGGGTCAGCCTGAGAGCTACTTGTCCAGCTACTTCTGCAGCAGCACGCAGAAGTGCGTCCAGATTGTCAATTTTCCTCAGGTTCTCCAGTGTGTCACCCTTAGTATTCAGGAAATGATATTCCTCATCTTTCTAGAAGAAGAAAGACATTGAAGTCAGAAGTGCTTCGCCAGCTGGGAGTTATCTCCCAGTACATTCCATTTCCTCGTGCCTCTAAGTAGTGAGATTCGGGTTGGAAAAACTTCAAAGCACAGGAGAGGGAACAGACCGTCTACATTTAGTCCATCACAGCTTCCAGCAATCAGCTCTGTTAGTTCGTTAGCCCATTTCCCTGCAAAATTGTGAGCAGGCAAACTCCAGCACATATTTTGGTACCTGCTGACAGTTCTCTCCAACCCTTCCTGGGCAGAATAATATTTAGATTTTTTGGAGGAAGCCTGACACTAGTAAGATCCAAACATTCACAAGCCAAGGAAGCTGTTACCATAAAGGCTCCAAGTTCTACAGCTGGCAGCCTGGCTAAGGCCATTTTTGCAGCAACAATCTACAAAAGCAGATCTGGATAGTCTGTGTTAACACTTGCTCTGTCCAGCTGTACAGCTTCATACAGCTTCCCCAAAGCACTTTGCTTGCTGAACAGCAGGTTGTAGTGCATCTTCCACTCAAGCAGCAGAAGCTTGACATCTTTTCAGTGTTGTTCATTTCCCCATCACTGACCTTTGAACCTCCAGAACAGTGCCGGTTCCCCCTCCCTATAGGACACAAGCATCCAAGGTGCTCAAAGACACACTACAGGCCACATCCCAGCGGCAGCATTCAGAACATGTGACCTCTCAGCATGGGGTCTATGGCAGTACATGTCCTTTCCCAGA